TGCAAAAGCGGCAAAAAGAAACACAAAATGTGGCCAAAAGCGGGAAAAAAGAGACACAAAAGGGTGAAGAGCTGGAAAAGTCAAATCGAAGGCAACAAGATTATGCAATGTTAATGGGTCGACAAGTGTTAAAAAGTCGAGATCGGGCGTTGACAGCAGGAAATTGTAAGATAAATTCGAATCCCAGTGATTGACTTGCCCACCAAGTGGGTCAACATCAGTGGGTCAAAATAGAGAAAAGCAAAAAACACCCAAATTATTGCGTTTGTTTCGAGCCTTGATTGCAATTTATGGCCGTAATCTCTGCACGTTTACCCACGAATTTACTTACGTTGATATCAGCATTTTATTTGTTTTTTGTCGGGATTTGCTGGTGTTGCCACTGCTGGTGGGTGTTGTATTGTTGGCTTAGCTTTGCCTATTGCTTGTTTTTTATTTGCCTTTGTCTAAATGCTAGTTACTTTGTTACCGTTTACTTTTACTTCACTTCGCTGCCGGGCCAATCTTTTGCAATGCCCAAGTGGTTGAGAGGCTGTGTGCTTTTTATGTGTTTCAGGCACACATTGCTGAAATGTATAAATAATAATCATGTTTGAGCGTAAATTGTTGTTTGATTTATGCACTGGAGAGACCTGGAGTTTGCCGAGCTTGTTGTTTTTCTAATTTTTTTATTCACCGGCTTTTGTGTCTTTCACCTGGCTTGACAGCATTGCGCATGCGTCACGTTGTACTTTGATTTGGCACGAATTTAGCAAAGTCATTGCAAGTGATTTTTGAGAATTTATCAATGATTTTACTCCATAAAGAGCTTAGAATTTGGTGGAGAGCCTACAAAGTGCTTCTAGAAAGGTGTATCGAATTCCCCCCCGTATTTGAAACATTATACAATCAACACCTTGCGGTGTTGACTTCTGTTGTTGTGATCATATTATAATGACATAGTGCTGAGTCATTTCTTATGACTGCAGCATTATACGATCAACATACAACTGTGAATGTTTCTTCAGCAGCAATTCGATATGCGAACGGGCCAAAAGCCGCTTAGTTCACCGCAATAACAATTGAAATAGTAATAACAATAATAATTGAGAGCCCGAAAGCAATGTACGCAGTTGACATTGGAATTCAGTTGTTTTTGGAGCCACTTGGAGATGTGTGCTTCGAAGCACCGAAGTTTAAGCTTTTCGAGAAAACAACAGGCGAGTTCTTAGCAAACAGATTGCGATTCGCTGATGCCTAGTTTGCATGCCGAGTGCGTTGCCATATTGCCAAGGTCAAAAGTAGCTGGCATGCAATGGTGAATTTCCGTGAATTTCCGGTGCAGCGGAAAGTTTTATCTAAGCGCTAACAAATGCGTCATCGAATGTGCCAAGTGAGAATTCAAATAAATAAGGGGGGTATCTATAAGTTAGTCATCCAAAGCTCCCCGAAAACATTGCCCAATCGGCTGGCCAGTTGAGCATGAAAGCATTTAACCGTTTAACTAGTTAACTAGTTAACCAGCTGCAGACAATGCTCGGATGAATTTATTCATATACAATTTAAATTTCAATGTGGCAATCTCAATGCAATCGCTAAACGACTTTTCAGCAGCTGCAGACAGGAAAAACCATAATTAAGACTTAAGTCATTAAGCAAGTGGGTGAAAAGACATTAATACGGCCTCGGAACTAATAAGAATTAAATCCAAAAAAATACCGATACTATCGATACTATCGAAAAACCGAAAAATCACACGAGATAACAAAAGACAAATAAGAAAAACTAAAATATTTTATAACTCGAACATAGTTACAAAATACCCAGAATCTGCGACACTATCAATGGATATATTCCTAAATTTTAAAACGATCGGTAGTATCGACTGTGCTATCGATTGTTTAATCAACCCTAATAAGAACTGCCTTGGCTAGACGGCCAAAAAGCGAATCTCCCTGACTGGCACTCACCACCACTTTCAATCTCTACTGGCCAGTTTTCATTTTCTTCGACTGGCTTTTCCGATGACATAATTTCAGGCACGTACATATATCTGTGAGTTTGGCTTTCAATGCACCAGTGTGCGACACAGTTTCGTGACTACGACTGCAACTTCTTCGAGACGGGTGGGCTTTTGGCCATTTCTGCAAATGGCAAACCAAACCCGTCGACTGGTAATGGTAGCTCGCAACTGGTTCTGCAACAGGTCTTTAGACTTTTCTGAGGCCCGTGCCCAAAAATAAATAGTCGAGCACTCACCCGCGCACTAAAAACTTAAAGCCAAGGTGTTAGATAATCCAGATGGTCTGTAAAATAATCAATTCACTACAAGCTACTAGCGTGTATTGATTGGCAGAGTTGTTGCTCTACTAAAACCAGTCCGGAGTCCGATTCCTGCGAAAACTCGAAAGAGAATGTCCGATTGCCTCAATTAATATTTAATTTTCTCAATTGTTGTGTGTATCACACAGTTACACAATTTATAATTCGTCCAAACAATTAAGAGTTCAGCCGGGGTCACGTGAACCTTAACAAATGTTTAGCTTGTCATGGAATATTTTACCCCATCTGAATTTTTAATGTCCACGAGTCTGAATTACAAATGCTTCTTAAAGGTCTTTAAAGCGGATTGAGTAATCAATATGACGAACTGTCGAACTGATTAAATCTCAAGCACCTTGTTAAGTATTTTACTTGACTTTATTGAGCAATTAGGGCCTGCTGATCGGTTATTAAGTGACCAGTATCCAAGACATTTAAGTCTAATGCCATCGGTTATGCAGCTCAGGGCAATCATCTGGGCAAGGGGGAAGTAATACTCGTTCGTTTAAAATCGATTAGAGCAATGCAAATTGTTCGCAATTAGTTTAACAATCCCCATAATCATATCGGAACGGAACCAATACGATCCGATTGCCAAGTGAATTATCTCGTTCTATTCTGCCGGCTATTTTTATATAAGCCTCTATCTTAATAGAGCCGCTGCCTTGGTATTAATTAAATGTCGCACCGTTTTATGGCTTAATAATAATGCCTATATCTCCGGCTAACTAGATATACAACCTCAGTTGGCATCGCTCTGTTGCCGAGTGGAGTGGATTTTGAGGCACCTTGAACTCTGCTCGAGGCATAGCCGCGACGTGATAAACAGAGAATAAGAGGGCCCAAAAGACCGAAAGAAAGAAGGAAAAAACCCCAAGTCGAAAATACCAGTTCAAGTTTAAACTTAAAATGCTGCACAGTTCGGAAATGCACATGCGGAGCAAAAGAGAGGGGGGCTAAAAAGCCTTGACAACTAATTTCAGGGCCCTCGACGAAGGTCTCTGGGTGCACAAAATACGACGATGAATGCAGTTTATTGTAAGATATAATTGTTATTATTATGACGCTTTTCAACTTGTGCAATGAAAATGCAAAAAGTCACAGCATTTAATTGCGCTGAACTTTGCTCGAATTGCAATTTGCAGTGTACAGTGTACACAAGCACAAAAAAAATAGTCGCCAACTGCTCTCCAATTGTTGTTGACCTCTTCTCACTTTTTGGTGAGTGGCTAGTGGGCGTGGGGCATTACCTAAAGTCGGTACTTTGTTTGCTCCCACAGGGCGTATGCTTATCTCAGATAAACACAGAGAAAACACAGCGCTTTTAGCGAAATACTTGTAGGAGTCGTAGGTCAGAAACTTGTTTTTTAGTACCCCAGGAAAGTGCTGGAAGTATGGGGCCTAGAATGCTACAAAAAAATTCCATACATCAGGTAATATTCCAAGACCGATCAATAAAAAAGTAAATTAAGCTAAGTGCTTTGGCGATAATATCCAGGCATGAGTGACACATTGGGACGATGTGAAATGCAGTTAATGACCGAAATTATGGCAACATTGTCCACCATTTTTTTTGCTTCTTTTATGCCATTCACATCCATCAGAGGTAAAAAAGTGTAGCAATATGATGGAGTTGCTTACAATGGCTTGATAATATCAGGATGGCCAGATATTCTAACAACGTTTCGGGGCGGCGATGACGACGATGTCAGCCCACTCCGCCCATTATTTGTATGCCAAGCGCGAAGCACACGCGTTGGAACATTTTTTTATGAAAGGGGGTAAGGAAACGAGGAAACTTTGTTATTGATGATGTGGATCTCGATGATGATGATGATTGTTATTATGATGATGGTGGCAGTTCGCGAACAAAGTAATTGACAACAAAGCGGCAAAGGCAGCCATTTGTTTTTTCTTTTTTTTCGCAAAGAATAAGTTGTTGTTTGCTGAAATATCAGCGGTGACTGTTGACTGCCTTTTGGGCGATTTCCTGAAACGTGTGCTCAAGCTCGGCAAATTCCAAATAAAAACTCCCATTTGGTTTTCTGTTTGATGAGCAAATTTACACTTACAATGCGCGTTCTAGTTGAAATGGAGATGCGATGTTTGCACACTTTAACAGTCGTTTCGCTGGTTTCGCTTTTATAATCCACTACTCGCCAAACGAAAGACTTAGGACACGAACGCGATCGCTGGGGGATCACTTGGGATCGAAAGCTATAAGGCTGGGATCTTTCGATGCTCGTTCAACGTTCAACGTTTCGACGGGGGTTCACACAAAAAACGAAGAGACAGACGACCGATTGAGAGCGGATTACCGGAGCACTTGCGTTGCGCTGAAAGGTTCGGCCAAGACTGACTTCGAGTCGTTGGCCAAAAGGCGGTTTGAGCCGAGTTGAGTTGAGCTGATGCTGGCGCTGCGTCGACGTCGCCGCTGCTGGCTTTGCACTTTACACTTTGTCAATGGAAAGGAGAGAGAAAGAGACAGAGGCAGCTGGAGAGACGGAGAAAGAAACAGAGAGCTTGAGCGGTAAGCGAGCGATTGCACATTTGCACGTGCGTTTCAAGCGCGACTTTAAACGCGTCTAGACGTTGGAAGTACGACTGCCTGAATGCCAGAAACTCAACTGAATCGGCCAAGTCAAAGCAAACCGCAAAACACCTGCAGGTGAAACCACTCAGCGAAAAAAAGCCACTCACTTTTGAGCTTTTCAGTGGCAAGTTGGCTGCGGAATGGGCGCGATGCGTCTGGCAAAACAAGTGAACTGGTGGCAAGGTTTGTTGGCTTCGCTCCTGGCGGCGGTTCACCTTCGCGGCGGCAGGGGAAAATACTCTATAAAAGGGCCCCGGTTTTTGGGTTTTTCTCTTCACGTCGCCGCTGTGACGTTATACAGGTAGGTACTTACATAGCCACATACCACTTATGCAATCCCCTGCCGGCGACCTTGGCTATCTTCTTTTTCCAGACAGAATTGCAAAAGCCCAATGCTCCGCTCACCCATTCACTGCAGCTCTCTTTTAGATCGTTTAATGGCTTCATTTGGCGGTAATTGCAATCGCAATCCCATTAAAATTCCCCCTTTTTTAATTGGTAGTGCCTTTCTTTACATAAGTAATTCAACTGGAGCAAAGTTCAACGCTAATAGATCAAATGGGCCAGGGAGAGATATACCACTTTTTTTGCAGCTACTCAAGGCTAAATGAAATAAATGCCTTAATTACTATAATTACTATGCCAAAGAATGCTTTTCGGTGGCTGAGTGATGGACAGACAGCCAAAGCCGCAAAATCAATAAACATGTCTATATTAAAAATTTCGTTGTTTGCCTATTGCACAATTTCAATGTCATCTAAGAAAAAAAAAAAGAAAAAATTAACAAGCCGGCGTTAAGGGCGTGACTAAGGGCGTTTGCTAGGGAAAAACGAAGCCAATGAACAAGAAAGAAAAAAATCCAAAACAGACCAAACTGTCCACTTTTGCGCAATGGTGACATTGAAAATGCACAGCTAACTTGGCGTTGTGGGTGTCTTTCTGTCTTTCTGCTTTTCTGGCCAAAAAGTGCCATCAAATCGGGTGTTGTAACAAATCGCGCTCGAACATCTTAAGCAGGTGGTCAATGGTCAATGGACAGCGATACAATAGCAAGTTGGATTTGGAATTTTACATTTTATTTTTTCATTTTTTCTTTTGCTATTAAACGGCAATTAACTGACAAGGTCGCCTGCTATACATTATAATATCTGCCCGTCATGCATTCCCGCGAGACCTAAAACAGCGACTTATCTAGCTCTCAAATCGGTATTTAATAAGCGGTATGATTTTTTTTCCTTACAAATTACTTATACGCCAAGTGGAACGGCCGGCGAGATTTAATGAATCGCATAAAACCGATTTTGCGGCTGACTGATGGGCCTGTAAACATCCTCGTAGACGGTGCAATGGACATAATTGTAGTTGAAAAACAAGCAATTCAGTCGTTGGGGATATCAAGAAATAAATAAACGAATTGCTTTGCTGTCGCACTTGACATGGTTTTTGGGAACATATATATTATATAAGACAGGCAACGTGCTAATGAGCCCTGAAAACTGAGTTCCTCAGCTCCCCAGCTCCTCATTCATCATTAACTGGGGATATGTGGCAATAGTCTTATAGTGCTCATGATTCACCCTGCTCATCATCATCATCTGGTTTACATTTCCAGCTAATTTACAATAAGCAAACTGCCAGGTCATGGTACACTAATCTGTGCAGTTGAAGAAGCCATGTCTTAAGCCTTCAATATCTTGGCTCTTACAAGCTGCAAATTTCGTAAGTGTTGTTTTAGTTCCCACTAATGGTTAACTCCCACACAAATAGTGATCAGCCAACGCAGAAATCCAAAAACTAAGCTTGCAATTTTCTAATATCTTTTTTTTTTTGGACAGTCATGCTGTGCAAGCAACAACAAAACCTTGAACAAGTTTGTTGACTTCGGGTTGGAAAAACGAGAGCAACAACAATTGGTAACTGCGAAAATGGCCATAAATATATTGAAGAAATTGGTTGACAAAAGTTTTCTGTTTTTTTTTTTGGCATCAATAGCCTTACTTACAATTTCTAGCTTTTGTCTTGCGATGTGCACACTTCAAATCTCCATTTTCGTATTGTTCACTCCATCGCCTTTATAGCCATTTATTCCCAGTCTTAGTGGCCCATTCACACAGACAATTTCATTTCGGTTTAGTTTCTTCTTTCCCTCTGTTTTTTTCATATTTGAATTTTTTTTTGGTTTATATCTGTGCTTTTTATGCTGCTGTGAAAATGGGCACAAGGTCGCCGTTGCGACGAGGAGGAAGTTTGCTGGGAAGCCGGCGGAGGAAAGAGGCTGGGCTGAATTCGAATTCCAGACGGACTGCAGAAGCTCCAGTCCGGCTTAAATTAATTGCATCCAGCCACGAGACGACAGCGACGGCAGTTTCGAGCTCATAAAACGGATTGCACTTAACGATAAAATTTCCCTTTCGGTCGGAACTCGTTTTTCGCTCACTTATTCGAACGGTGTCCTAATCCCTTCTGTAAATGGTGTGATTCATAGGGGGTATGAGAAAAGTAGAGGTAAATAAAAAACTTGGTGTAAGAATATGTGTTCTAAATATTTATTAAAGATTTAAGGATTTTTGGGAAAATGTTAACAATAAAAATTGTATATTTTTTAAAGCAGTAAAAAAAAGAGTGGAACTCATTTATTTAGTTGTAACACATATATTGACAGCTCCGAATTGAATAACTTGAAATATTAATTTGCATATTTAGCTTTTTAAATTAATTGATCTATCTACTTTTCAGTTTGAATATTTTTGGAATAATAATCTAGTTTTGATCGTATTGTAATTGATGATAGTTTTACATGGTTTTATTAATAGCTGAATGCTTGAATGTGAAATATCTGCTGATAAAAAACACATACTCCTCGTTACAACTGATCCTAACTCTAATTCACATTTAAAAAAAGGGAATCATTTTCTTCCTTTCTTTAACCATTATATACCACAGCTGAACATATGTATGTAGCATAGTTTTTGTAATGTTATTTGTAGCTCTGTTAGCCATATATTCACTGCAATTCTACCAACCATTATTGACATTTTTTTTTGGATATTTTTCCTTAAAACTAAAGACACCTCTCTAGTTTTGTTCACTGCAGCCCAGAGCAATGGAGTGGAAAGCTCCAGCTGCTGCAAGGCTGTACTCAAAAGTGGTTTCTTTCGCGACTTGCCAAATATTATGCAATTTCTGCAACTTGGAGTTGAGTCTTTTGACTGCCTTGCTTTATTTTCGAGCGGCCACATGCAAAAGAGCTGCTAATGCAACAGCTTAATTAATTACAATTAGAGGCTGTGGCCGACCCATAAAGAAAAGATCTACGAAATGGCAAACGCAAACGCTCCATTGGTTTTTCACTGCCTCTGCTGTAATTGCTTGGTCCACTTAAACAATAAAAACAAAAAGAAGCTAAATCTGGTTCACTCGTCTCTGGCTTGAATAATTTGTGAAGATTTTGGCTAAAACTATCAAAAATACACGCCCCAAATGTGTCAAGGTCTTTTGTAAACTGGCAAATGAGCAAAGAAAGAAACAAGCCACCTAAAATCAAATCAAATGGAAACCGAAAGCTGGTCGAGCGATTTGGGACTGGGCTCAATTTTTGTTTTTTGGTTATATCCAACTATAATTATCGGGGGAAAACTTTTTGGCACACAATGCACGGCATTTGAGTCAGATTTTTGCCAAGTTGATTGGCCGCATTGTGCAATATTTTTGTCTGTTCGACCACATTTGAAGTCAATTAGCAAGCTGGCCAAATTGCTGTTAATGCCATGAGCAAATACGCTGAAATAGTTGCTCTAAGACAATGCATATGGCTTCTTGCAGTGCGGTTGAAAGGGGTGAAAGTAACTGAAAGGTATTGACAAAAAACTCAGACAATGTTTCCCGGAAAAGATCGCCACACAAAAGCCCTAAGAATCGGCGAAGATTTATGTGACAGACCTTATTCAGGACAATCACTTTTGAGCCTACGTGATATGGCTGATACTCATTAAAATTTAGCTCACATATTATAACTCAGAAGTATATTCTTAAGTTCGCCAGAGGTGGTAGGTTAAACTGATGAAAACAAAAGCCACTGACCCTTGCACACTCCGGAAATAAATCTTCAATTGCCAGTAGTTCTTATGACAGGCGTGTGCGTCTTTTGTTTGTGTTTATTTTTATTATCATTAAGATGACCTGGTGATTTTCTCTAAGTTCTACGAACTTTCAGGGCAAACGACTGTCTCCGCAATGAGTGGGATAAAAAATAAGCAAAATATATCTTAATGGCTGACATTAAAGTCCGACATAGAAAATGAAAAGGTTCCTATAGAACATACTTGCTAATGTTCTACAAAAGATAGTTTTGAGCAAACTATAGAAGTGATTTAGCTGTTCGACCTTTGAAGCCTATTAGTACAGATTGAGAAGCTTATGAATTCTCAGATTCAAATTATAATAGTCTGAATCTGACTGAGCAATCAAATGCCAATTGAGCTTCCGTTTTCAATTGTAATTTAATAAGCAAAGATGACGGTTTTCAAAAAAAAAAAAAGGCTAGCTTACAATAGTTTTATTTACAACTATCATAAAAACTATTCAACAATGAAAAACAATTTAACAAATATTAAATTAATAAATATAATTAAGAATAAATTAACCGAGAATAGTGTAAAAATGAGTATTTATACCACGATAATAACAGTAATAATTTCAATGGTTTTAAAACGTTACTAACGTTAACGTCACTACGTGACTAGTAACACTAACGTAGGGAACGCGATCGAAAAGCACGTCACAGAACGAAACGAAAATTGTTTACAAAGAATTCGGACTGATTTTTCACCACATGGTGAAAATGAAAAAATGAAAAAGCTTTTAAAGCTCTCTTTCGACTTAGTCACTGTCATAAGCTAACAGATTTAAGCTCGAACTTAGTCTGGACCCAAACCATATTTTAAAATTTTTCTGAAACTTAAAGAATTTAGCGTTGCCACTGGCAAATTAACAGAACCAAGCATTGCCAGACCGAAAAAATGCTGATTTTCTAACAGAAATGTTAAGATGTATCAAAATCTAACAGCACTCTTAAGATGTATCAAAAACTAAAATAAATGTTAGGAAAAATCCTAACATTTCTGTTAGAAAACTTTGAATCTTAACATTTCATGGAAGAGGAAGAACACATGGCGCCTTGATTCAAAAATATTGCATTTTTGAGCTTGATAAAAGTGTAGGAACAGAGAAGAACGAGAATGGATAATATAAAAATTAGGAGAAGAAGAGGAAGAGAAGGTCGCAACAATTTTAAAAAGATAAATGGAAAATTTAGCTCTGCAAAAATGTTCTAAATCTTCTTGTTTTATAATCTATTTAACATACAATAAATTTAAGATTAGGACAAAAAATTTAGCCAAACTTAAAGAAGCAAATGTAGTATTATATCAATATATTCATTAAAATTGTTTATAAAGGAATTATTAAATATCCTTCCTTCATTTTTAATGGCTAAAAATAAACATTTTAATTAGACTATAAAATAAATGCGCATTAAATTTATTGCTTATGGTTTTCCAGAATTGCATTTATATATTCAGCAGTTAGAATTTCAAGCTTAGCGCGTGCTAAAACTGTTTTAAATGGTTCTGTCTGTATGGGGGCGTGCTTGGGTTGCAAATCATCACCCATAGTCGTCAATAACAACAATTATAATTAACGGCACGCCAGGAGCGACAGGTATATTGGTATGACTAAAACATGTTGACAGAAGCAGATGGAAACCGGAGTGATTTCCCAATATTTCGATGCCACTCACTACTGAACTAGTTCATGCGGA